GTATATCCAGTAAAAAATAATGCATTTCATTGACATGCATTTGTATTGAAAATGGTAATAACATTTAATTTCTGCTGCAAACAATGTAATGGTGGCATTATGTACGGGTTGGCAATAATCCAGTTCAAATTATGTTAGAAGATAGAAGCATTTGTGGTTTATATACAACAGCTTGCCGTACTTCCTGCTTCTGTGTGCAGCGGTTCTGATCCATAGAGCTGTAGGATGCAGAATAAACAGGATGGTGGGGACTTTTCATCCGCTTGTAGAGTGTAGTCTTTTAGTTTTACGATCATATATTTTTCTGTGCGCCACTTGATAGTGAGACTGGTACCCGTTAGCTTTAGCATTAGCCAATCTGTAGCTGCACTTTTGATCCCTAACTTTGGACCGGTTCTGCCTTTGCTGGTTCCTTTAATTTCCTCCACTACATCCAGACCACACTGCGCCAGTAAAGTGTTTTTCTTACATGTAACTTACCTTTGTTCAATAAAGTTCTGGGGGAAATGAAAATTCAAAGATGTTGCACCAGTGCTACGTTTAAAAATAGACCGACACGCACAGACCGTTTTTTTTTTCATCGCACTGTACAGCCCTGCTCTGATATGGAAGAGCCTGGGGGAAAATCAGGACGTCAATAGCGCCAACCACAGATCTGTACCAACTAGCGAGAAAAGCAATTTTTGATCTTTGTCTGCAGCGGTTTTAGTGCTTTTCGGTGCAGCGCTGCTGATACAGCGCTCCTGTAGTGGCGCAGCGCTGCAACTGCAGTTAAAATAACATCCATATAGCTGGGGGCAGCGTGAAATCAGGCTGGGATGGCACAAAATTAGCTGGAGGCGGTAGCCACGCAAATTTGAATGCAGGAAAAACCCTGTATATGGATGTGTATATATATATATATATATGTGTATGTATGTATATATATATATATATATATATATATATATATATATATATATATTAGGGCTGGGGGTAAACTATTATTTTTAAAACTATTGTTCTGACGATTATTTTATCAAATGGTCGACTATTCTAATGACTATTTAGACAATTAATCGAACGATTATTTTTCTATAGCACAATTAATAAAAACCAGAAAATCTCAAATTCCTCAAAAAATTGATTAATTAGTACTGAAAGAGAACACTACGGGCCTTCCATTTTGTATAACACTGCTTTTATTGTGTTGCGGTTGGTTATGTTCTGGAGACATGTAGAACTTGGGAGTGCAGGCTGCTGCCTGAGAGGTGGTTGGAGACACGGAGTGTCTCCATACTGCTTTGTTTTTGTCATTTATGTGCATGAGGCGAGTGATGTTACGAGCCTTCTTGGGGAGTTTGGCTCATGTGCAAAAAGGAAAGGACAATAACACGGGATTTAAAAGTTAATTAAGGTAGTACGACTTGGGTTGCGAATGAGCACAGTCACCAATTCTTAGAATTGTGTGTACTGAAACTAATTTCCCTCTGGGATTAATAGTTTCTTTGAATTTGAAAATGATGATCAGGTTTATTTACAACAACAAAAAAATCTTTCCATCCACAGGTTGGGAATAAAACAAATTCTGCCTGTGGGGAACTAAAACAAAAGTACAAATAAGTAGGGATGTCCCACTGGGCAACGATTACTGGGTTCTGGACAAAAATAAGGATCTCCAAAGGTCCAAATTCTTAACTGGGTGGTTAAACCAAACTCAAGGTGATATTTTAAACTAAACCGAAAAACTACAACACTCTAAATGTAATTAAAGGGAGATCTACACCACAAAAAAGATTAACTCCAAACCAAAGCGTAACAGCTTATCCAAACGCAAGAAGCTGTTAGCAAAAATGCTAACAGTAGCTTTACCAACGTTAAGTTCAAGTTACCAACTTTAAATAAACCAAAAATGCCCAGCAAACAGACCAGCATGGAGGAGAGACTGCTACCACAAAAACAGCTCTCCTAATGCCCGAACGAAGCTCCTTTATGAAGGGAGAAACTCTCCCGGTGATTTTCTACATCTGCGGTATAGAGGAAGCAGCGCATTTGACCCCGGAAGTTGTTGTCCGTTGCCGGGCGACAAAGGCGGGCAAAACAAGAAAGGAATCTAGTAGCGGACGGACATTGTTCCGGGTCTTCGGTATTTGGCGGAGATGTTAGTGAAGGTGGAGAAGAGGGCGAACTAGAGGAAAAACAGGCAGATTCCTCTATTTACAAACTCCTGGGGATGCAACAAATGGGCTTGGTGCGTCGACTACCGGATCTGACATCGACGAATTTTTTGAATCGAGCCGTCTACGTCATCGACGGATATATATATATATATATTTTTTTTTTATTTTTTTTATTTTTTTTATCAAAAACGTGTCTGACACAACATGAAATGCCCCAAAAGCTCTTCATTCACAGCGGTATTTAAGACTATGTAAAAGTGCAAAATATTTTAACTCATTAAATGCCAGTCATTTTCTGATCAGGAAAGCCCTGATCACGTGACGTGTGACATACGCTGATGAAGAGTAGCTGTAGAGACGTGGTGTTCATTCTCACGGTGTGGGGGCTTGTTCCGACACCCGCACCGTACAAAGTGCGATTGGTGTTTCCTATTCTGTAATTGTGGAGGACACTTCAGACTCTGACAAAGTTAGAATGTGACGCTGGTGCCATGGTTAAAAAAACAAAACTGCATTCCACTAAAATCGATTATGGCGTGTTTCTTCCACAATTCAGAATCATTTGTCCGCATCTTGGTGCATCGATTTTTTTTATTTGTTTTTTCAGCTCTATTAATCACTAGGGATGTAAAAAAAAATATTCACATGGCAATATATCGTGATTTTTTTTCCTGTATTACATCAATATTCAAAAGTCATGTATGTGAATGTATCGCAATATATCCCCAGTATCGTATCGGTAGAATTTCACCAATACACATCCCTATTACAAACTGGTTGCCTTATTTATTTATTTTATTTAGATCCAAACATCTTTTGCTGTCGATGAATTCAAATGGTGTTTTCTTTTTGGGACTCAAGTGGTTTGTCCTAAATTGAAGTGGTAGCAGCCGGCTGTTTCGCTTTCTCTGATGTAATTGTGCCATAAACCTCACACTGTTGGTGTTGCTAAATGTGAGTGCGTAAGGAATGAAGGACCTAGGGAAGTTCAGTGAGAAACACAATTGGATAGTCCAGTGCTTGCTGGACTGAGGTTTTTAGACAAATGCAAGAGAACCACTTCTTTTCTTTTTCAATCTCCACAATATATTTATATATTCATCATAACATTCTAACATAGTATAGCTATAAAGATGTTTTAAGCTACGTTTTTTCCATATTTGCTATTGTAGTAATTACTGTTCTGTTTTGCAGGCCTGGCTGTGAAGGAGCTGAAGTAAATCCAAGATGTACAGATAATTGTAATAAAAAACTGCAAAAAAGGCTAACCTGAGTAGTTTTTCCTCCTGTGATGCACTGGGAAAGAGTTGATAAAATTTGTGTGAGGATGATTCATAAACTTGCCATAAGATGCCCTGATTGAGCTTTTGATGGCCTGGACCTGGCCTTTGTTCGTCACTGTTGAGATTAGGAACCTTTATCAGCATTTATACAAATGTATTTTAAGTAGGTGTTTTGCAGCTGCAAACATCTTCAGGACGGTGATGGTGGCATCACTTCCTACTCCGTTTATCCGCGGGCAGCAGAGGACAACGTCCACTCTCCACTCCGATGACACAGTCTCATGCACGATCCAGTGAGTAAACTCCATGAACAGAGACGATGGACTTTTCAATCGTGCATGGGACTGCATCATCGGAGAGGAGAGCGGTCGCCCTCTGCTGCTCGCGGATAAACGAGTAGGAAGTGACGCCACCGTCAGCTCTGAAGGTGTTTGCAGCCACAAATGAAACCATCAGCAAGGTAAAGAGAAACCTTATCTGTGTTTTAAAAAAATGGAATTAAAAGACAAACACAGCAAGAACGTGCAAAAGATATTTGGAGGTTACTGGTGAAAGTTGGTTTCCTCAAAACCGGTTTAAGGGGTTGATTAACCCCTCCTTTGCCACAACGCGCCGCTAGGTGGCAGTGCAGTTGTAGTACAAACGCTTACTGAAAACAACGCTGATCTAAAGGATAAAAACTCGTCCCGTTTATATGAACCTAAACGTGTTACATTCATTACGTTAGACTGTTTCCCAGTACTTTCTTTTTCCTCGTGTTTCTTGCTTTCAGCGCGCGCTCCTCTCGCTGACTATGGGACTGTAAAGTTGGCTTCTGATTCGGGTTTGGCTAAAGGGATGTTCTGAGTTCATTTCCATCTGATCTTTAAAATGCGTATTCAACTCTTTGTATCTGGACAGGAATAGGCGAGACTAGACAAGTCCATGAGCCAGTTGTAGCCCTCGGGGTCCCTAGTTGTGTTTGTAGGATGGTGGAATTTCCGTTCTGGCTGTTTAGACAATTGTATTTTTTTTTTCATTAGATTTTTTATTAGACTATGCCTATTCAGAATAAACGAGATCACCAATTGATTCTAATCAATAATCCTAAAGGACTTTTTATTATTAATTTTTTAGATTAATTTGGTCAGTTGAATAAAAATGGCTTCAGATTTAAACCACTACATCCAGACTGTTCACTCATAAAACACATTTAAGGTCTTGGTAAAGACATTTTTGAGTTGGATCGATCGAAGTTGCTCCAAAAGGGGAAATTCGGTGAAGCCACCCTTTAAATGAGACCACTAATCGCAAGCGAACTTCGTCGCGGAGCAGCGCTGGGTCTGATAGTAGCGGTGGATCCTCAGACCGAAGGCGAGGAACGCAGATTGACTGCTGCTTTGTCGGAGACAAAACATCGTCTTCAGGTCCACCTCCTGACCGGGACTTCCTCCAACGCCTTCATGTGTGGAGGAGTTACCATTTCTGTGTCTGACTATGCTGAAACCGCCTTTGATTGATGTGAGACTTGATTAAGACCTCAGCCTGCGGACCGACCCGGACCACCCGACCTCAGGCTGCGGACCGACCCGGACCGGACCACCCGCTTCAGGACTCACGGGCTAATTGAGGCTGCAGCAGAACTTTTTCTCTTGCAGGGATGTCTTCGGACCGAGTGGATTACATTGCTCCCTGGTGGATTTACTGGCTTCACAATTTTCCTCACATCAACTTGAGATTTCATACTATTGATAAGAGTTTCCAGCCTGAAGATGAGAACTACCAGCAGGTCAGTGGAGGAGGATAAAGGGGGCTTCGTTTGTCTCAGAACTGGGACAACACCCGCCCGGGGCTATGAGGGGGTCTATCCAGCACTCACTTTACATCAGACATGTTTGTGCTATTTTATTACGATTCAGTTTTGAGGTTCAGTAGTTGAAGTCCGATCAGGTATTTTTTTTATTTTTTGCTCCAACATAGCCTTATTACCAAATATAAAACCGTTAAGTGACTTGGTATACATTTAAACCAGGGCTACGTTTACCACGTTCTCTGTAGTATTGAAGTTGGTTTTTAACTGAAACAACTCCCCTAACCTAGTGTCTGAGACGCAGATAGAGGAGAATGTTGGCAATTTTAGACAGTTTGACTCATGGGAGCCAGTTCATTCCCATCTCTAGAGAAGATGACTGGACCTTTTTCACGTGGATCAGCTGTGAGTGACTAACAACCAGCTTGTGAACTCCTTCAAGCCCCGTTCATGATTATTTAAGTCACTATCATTTGTGTTAAGGTTACAGCGCATACTCCTGCTGGGCATAAATGGCATTTATTTCTGTAATCCAATCAGCACCCAAAGTCTCAGAGCTAAGTGACCTTTGAAGATGGATTACAATTTCAATTACTCAATCAAAACTTTATTTATTTAGCCAATTCAATTTTCACAGCAATTTCAAATTCATAGCAGCTTAAAAGCAAGACCATCCCATCCATCCATTTTCTTCTGCTCATCTGGAGTCGGGTCGCGGGGGCAGCAGCCTAAATCGGGAGGCCCAGACTTCCCTCTCCCCAGCCACTTGGGCGAGCTCTTCCGGGGGAATCCCAAGGCGTTCCCTGTCCAGGTGAGTGACATAGTCCCTCCAACGTGTCCAGAGTCTCCCTTTAGGCCTCCTCCGGGCTGGGCATGCCTGGAAAACCTCATCAGGGAGGCGTCCAGGAGACATCCTAATCAGATGCCAGAGCCACCTCAACTGGCTCCTCTTGATGTGGAGGAGCAGCGGATTTACGCAGAGCCCCTCCCGGATGACTGAGCTTCTCACCCTATCTCTAGGGAGAGCCCAGCCACTCTGCGGAGAAAACTCATTTCGGCCACTTGTATCTGTGATCTCGTTCATTCAGTCACTACCCAAAGCTCTTGACCACAGGTGAGGGTAGGAACGTAGATCAACCTGTAAATTGAGAGCTTCGCCTTGTGTCTCAGCTCTCTCTTCACCTCGACAGACCGATAAAACGTCCGCATCATTGCAGACGCTGGACCAATCGGCCTGTCGATCTCATACTCGAGCTTCCCATCACTCATGAACAAGACCCCGAGCTACTTAAACTCCTCCACTTGGAGCAGGACCTCATCCCTAACCCGGAGAAGGCGTTCTACTCTTTTCCAAATCAAGACCATGGTCTTGGATTTAGAGGAGCTGATTCTCATCAAAAGTAAGATGTTTAAAATAAATCCAAAATCACAGTAAAAACAGTAAAATATAATATTAAAACAATTATTAAGACAGCAACATCATCCTCACTTGATGATTAGTTTTTAACTTGGATTTAAGACATTCAAAGTGGATGTTTCAACATCTAAAGGTGAGGTGTTCCGCACCGGTGGTGCATATAGTTAAAAGCTGCATCACCTGATTAAGATACTGTACCTGGTACGTTAAAAATGCCAAGGGCGGCCAACCGGGGTGACCTAACTAGTGTAAGTAAGGGATGCGAGATTTAGCCATTAAGACAAACACAGTGTGACATATATGGGATAGGCTCCATGCATGATGATCATCCAACAGCAGATTTGGTTTCAACACAAATTTTTATGTTTGTACACATTTCAAGATGACGTTTAAATGTATAACCAAGTCACAGGAAGGGACCACATTCTTTAAACTAATTTTTCAAGAAAAGGGCAGATCAGATAAGGAAGACCATTGTGAAACATTATCAAACCAAACGAAACTCATGCGTCTAATTACATTTATAGATATAAATAATAGATCTCTTTGTCAAAGTGACGTGTTTGTTACAAATATAAATTCAAACTTAGTTATCTCACATTCCTTAGGTTTTAAGATCCCCAAGTCATATTAGGAAAAGTGAATTTAAGATTTCTAAAAACATGTAGAGTTCAGTGAAATGTTTTTTACATCCTGTAGAACTGAAGAGCTATCAGCTATATGAACTCAAAAAGACCAGAGTACTGATGCCACATTAAAACACCTCCAATTCTACACTGTTTCAGAAGGAAAATGCCTTTATTCCAAGTTCACATTTCATAGTCTTTATTGTGGAAATTCAGATTTTTAAATGACTGTTTTACTAACATAATGGTGCGAGAGAGGTGTTCGGTGTCTTGCCCAAGGACACAACAGCAGCAACAGACTGAGCAGGGCCAGAACCTGCAACCTTCCGATTTTGTGCCACCATCTCCCCAACTTTAAACCCAGTACTTGGACTAAAAGCTATATTTTGGGCAATTATTTGGACCGTTTCATTTTTAGATCAAGAAGAAGGCTGGAAACAAATAAGGTTTTTTTCATAGTAACTTTTCTTTACTCTACAGCAAGCACCAATGAACAAAATAAGGACTTTAAAAATAATCAGGAATAGATCAGATCACTTGGGGAATGTCCAATGTCTCATGCGTGGTTCACCATACTGTGGGTGTAGATGTTCTGTGTTAAGTAGTAGTACCTAACATTGTGTTTCCACCATTTAGTTGCAGTTTTCTTTAAAAAAATTTTTTTAAAGTGAATTCATTTTTTTTTTACATAGAATTACAATCATTCCAGTGTAGATGACTCAGTGCACCCTCAAGGCAGTCAAATGATGGGTGTAATGTTGGGTATGATTAACCTTTTTCTTTAAACTTCCTTTTCTTTTATTAGGAAGTTCTCTGATGTACAGGTCCTTCTAAAAAATTTTGCATATTGTGATAAAGTTCATTATTGTCTGTAATGTACTGATAAACATTAGACTTTCATACCGTAAATCCTCGGTATTCAATTAAAGGCCGGGTCTCCAATTTTGGCCCCGGTGTCGGAGTCAGCGGAGGTAAATAACGGCCGGTCTCTTATTGTGGCCGGGTGGAATGTGGTAAGAAGCAAGTGTGAGCGTCCCAGCGGCAGGGTTATAGTCCCCAAATCAACCAGCAGGAGGCAGTAGAGGTTCACGCAGACCTTTATTAGGCTTTTTCTTCAACGCTTTGTAACGCTACAGACACGATCCTCTATCACGCTCCTACCACACAGAGTCACGGTGTCAGTTAACCATGCTAATTCAACCAGCTCCACAGAACACACATCACCTTCCCTGTGGCTTACATAACACTCACACAACACGCAAATCAGCACATAGGAACTAGCAGAACGACAGGAAACACATATAACACAATACCCAGAATGCACCTGGCTTACAACCCCAGCCAGGTCATTACACTATCAAGTTCAAAGAGAACGTGCTGATTATGCTGCAGAACACTCTGGAGAGCAGTAGCAGGGGTTGTATGAACTAGTCGACTTCACTATGGTGACTTTTTATGCCTGTCGTCGACTAGTCGCTGTCACGTGATAATGACCGGCAAGGTGCAGCCCTCGGAAAAGACAGCAGCTTGCTATCAGCAGGTGACAAGCTCCTGCGCCCGGGGGGGGGGGGGGGGGGGGGGGGGCAACGCGCTGTGCCAGACCGTAGGTACTGACACGCGATCGTTCATGTCAGTTCATTTCCTTTGATGTTTTCTGTCTTTTATTTGCGCCTGATGTGTATCGCTGCTGTGGAGCGGGGCGCATCAACTTGTCCTCCGACGCACAGATCACTGATGCGGCCGGCAAGCAGGGAGCGCTCCGCTGTTTTCGCGGTCGGTAGATCTGCCTCCTGAGCACGGCCACAGTAACAACCAGGTGTCGCCACCTCAAAAACTAATTTAACACGCGATCGTTCATGTCAGTTCATTTCCTTTAATGTTTCCTGTCTTTTATTTGCGCCTGATGTGTTTCGCTGCTGTGGAGCGGGGCGCATCACCTTGTCCTCCGACGCACTGATCACTGATACGGCCGCCAAACAGCGAGCGCTCCGCTGTTTTTGCTGTCGGTAGATCTTTTAGAACTGCAGTTCAAAGGTAACTCATGAGGTGAATATATATGAACCCAGGTAGCAGTTTTTCTTTAGGATTGAGAGGAGATGCAGGAAGATAATAAACAGACAGGACAGAAAAATAGTCAAATAAAAACAAGTTAGTTTTTGTACCTGCTGTTGCAACAAACAGACACCATTGAAGGTAATCAGAAGTGAGGAACAGAAAATGAAATAATTATTTTAATGTTTAGAGCAGCAGGAACTCCGAGAGGCTGCAGGCGCATCAGTGAGTTTGCGGCCGCTGCGCAGGGGGAGGGGGCTGAAGCAGGGGGAGGGGGGAGAGGGCTGAAGCAGGGGGAGGGGGGAGATGGCTGAAGCAGAAACTACCGTTGTTAAAAGAAATGTGTTTAACTTTGAAAATGTGGGTGCAATTTTAATTGTCAAAAACTCCAGCGAACCATTAGTTCATTTTGCTCAAATAGAAATAGAGGCCTGCCTCTAATACTGGCCCTCCTTCCAATAAAGGCCTGGAGCTTGATGAGCTTGAGTCAAATACAGGCCCAGGCCTGTATTAGAGGATTTACGGTATATTAGAGTCATTACACACAGCTGAAGTAGTTCAAGCATTTTATTGTTTCTAATATTGAAGATTTTGGCATACAGCTCATGAGAACCCAAAAATCCTATCTCAAAAAATTAGCATATTTCATCTGACCAATGAAAGAAAAGTGCTATTAATACAAAAAATGTCAACCTTCAAATAATTATGCTCAGTTATGCACTCAATACTTGGCCGGGAATCCTTCTGTAGAAATGACTGCTTCAATGCAGCGTGGCATGGAGGCAATCAGCCTGTGGCACTGCTGAGGTGTCATGGAGGCCCAGGATGCTTCGATAGCGACCTTAAGCTCATCCAGAGTGTTGGGTCTTGCGTCTCTCAACTTT